TCACGGTCAGCTGTCTCTTGTGAGATGAAGCTGACGGCATCGGCAAGGTACTCGGAGTTGCCAGGGAGTTGAATGAACGCCAGTTGAGCCTCTACGGCCTGTGGCTTCAGCTTCGATGGCAGGAACTCGGCTTGTGAGAGAGGGCGAAGACGAGACCACGGGATTGTCTCTGAGTTACCGTAGTCGATGTAGACAACCTCGGCCTTCTTGTTCTCGCGGTCGTTGCGTCGAATGCGCGCACGGTACCACTGGTCGTCGGCAGTGAACTTGGCTGCTACAAACTCGCCCGCCTTGGGCGCGTCTGGCAGGCCACTGCTGTTTGCAGGGTTGAGGTGGAACTTGCTGAAGGCGCTCATGAGTGATGTCAGCGCTGATGTCCCGCTGCCGATCTGTTGGAGACGAAGCCTTCCGTCATCTTCGACGTGGGTGATCATAACATCGCGGTAGTCTGCCTTTCTTGATGATGCGGCGTCACCGTTGGTAGCTTCGGTAGCTACCGCTGCCTCGCCGTCCTCTTCTTCCTGAGACGGGTCGTAGTCTTGCCACAGGTTCTTTCGTGCGTCCTTGGCTTTCTGCTCGGCTGCGAATAGTTCGTTTGCGTTTCCAGACTTCTCTGCTGAGTAGGCATGTACAGTAGCCAGACCTTCCTCAACCAGTGTCTTCGCAAAGTTCTCACGGTTAATGTACAGAGTGCCAATGAAGCCACCGACCTTGTCACAGTCCTCGACATCGATCTCGACGTCTCGCTGTTGGCAGCGGCGGTTCGCGAATTCATGGGCCTCCTTACCGAAAGGTTCGCCCTTCTCGCTGTCGTTTCTCGCCGATCGAGGTGCGCGGATACCGGAGAGGACGAAGGTGAGCTTGGCGTTCTCGCGAGGGACTAGTACAGTGAAGCGCGAGCCAGACTTGACGAAATCGACAATGGCTGGTACCTTGCGTTGGCGTGAAAGCAGAGTGAGTTGGCGCTTGGCCTTCTCGAGCGACTCTGAGTAGTCGACGTACTGCTTGACAGAGGGCGACTTGTCTGACCAGAGACCCTTCTTCTCAGCTTGTGCGGTGGACTCGGCCAGCAGAAGATCGTCGTAGATGGGGCTCCTGTCGGCATCGTCTTGTCGGTGGCGGATGACGGATGCCATGCCGCTCTCTACAAGCATCAGACCAACGTTCTTGCCCTGAAAGGTGACGGTGCACATTTCGCGCTCATCGTAGCCCTCGGTCGCCGGTCGCTTCCCGTCTACGTGGAACTTGACGTGCTTGCCGATGAGCTTCTTGCGCAAGAACTCCTTGGCCTCGGCTACCCATGGCGATTGCTTGGGATCGGTAGGCTTGGGTTGACGGACGCTGCTGAGGTTGATGCGCTTCTCCGCGCCTGCCTTGTTCCGGATGAAAATGGTGTCTGCGCTCTGGACACGGCTAACGGTGGCTTCTTGCTCTCCAGCCTTGCTGATCTTGGGCGCAACATGTTCCTTGTATACACCCAGGCGGCCGTCCTTTGCTTGTTTCTCAGCGCCCCTAAGTATGCCCATCTTCTGGCCGAGGAGGGTGGTGTGGTGGTCGGTACATTTGGCCAAGCCGTTCTTGAGCAGGAAAGGTGTGATGCTGCCCTGGGTAGGATGCTTGACGTCTGCGACAATTTGGCCATTCGGTGTTGTTCCCAGAACCTCGACGAGGACTCCTCGCTGTAACAGCCTCGTCTCGACGAATTGTTGGGCGTCGTCACCGAACGGCTCGGCTGGCTGCACCTTCCCGTCGGAAGGATTTGTTCGCTGTGTTGCGGGGGCGCGGACACCGGCGAGGAGGACCATTGTTTGTACGTGTTCGGTGGGCGAGAGGAGGAATCGCACGATGAGGCGGTCACCGGACAAGACCTTTTCGACAATCGAATCGATGTCCTTGCCCTTGTTCTGCTCCACGAACTTGGTCGCGTCACTCAGCTCTGACGACGAGTTGATCCTGCCGCCAGTCTCCGCCCAGAGGCCCTTGGAGTCTGCCCTAGCGCGCGCCTCGTCTACTTGCAGTCGCTCGAGTAGGTTGGCAGCCTCATCCGAGTCTTCCTTGCGGCCGGCGTCGTCGCGCAGCTTCACCCAGCCCGCCGCGACGGCTTGTTGCGGCAGTATCTCCTTGTTCGGTGTGACGATGAGGCCATATTCGCGGTTCGCGCCCGTCGGGATCTTGTAGAGGACTTGGAAGCGGACGACCTTGCCTACCAGCAGACGGCGGAGATAGTCGCGTGACTCGAAGGCAAAGGGCTCGTCTCCCTCTCGTCGCAGTCTCGGCGCGGTGACAAAGGCTAAGCTCAGTGTGCGCTCTGCTTTTGGGTTGTTGATGTTGTGGAGAACGACGGTGTCGCCGGAAAGGACGCTCTTGACTTTGGCTTCGAAGAGGTTGCTCATGATGGACGTCGGATAGCTGCAGAACGCGAGGGGAGCTGTTAGCTACTGTGTCCAGAGAGCTTCAGATGCAGGTGGGGCCTGCAGCTGTTCCCTGGCACTTACCTGCAGGAGATGCCAAAATGCGGTCAATGTTCCAATGGGTGGTTATGGGAGACGCAATTGATGTGTGGAATGTATGCCAATTGCTACTTGCGGATTGGGAAGCTACGTGTTGTTATGGCGGGCAAATCTCGCCGTTGCTCTCAGGGACCTTCGGTGTGGGGTTCTAGGCGAATCAAGCTAGACGTCACCACCGCCTTCCAGACTCCTTCACCACCCTCGACTCTCAACACAAACACACGCGACAGTCGGTGCGACCGACGAGCTTCACGTGCCAATTGCTGATATAGTGTCACGTGCCTCGATTCGTGGTCCCATCACGGCATGCATGCTATGACAGGCCTTTTGTTAGGTTACGTTAGCTAACCCTTCCAGCACCTCTATTCAGGTGCACCGTAGGCCTTTAGCATATTTTCGTCACTACTATCCTTCCTCTTACACGACCATGAAGCTACCTAGCCATCTTTAGATAGATAACTCGAGAGTGTCTTTGGATCATGGCACTCGACAACGCTTAAGTGCCGTCCCTGTCAGGGGTTAGTGGACACCTCGACTACGCCGCGGACGTGCATTAGCTTGCCGCCTTGCTTGCAGTTTGAGGAAAGACCCGTCCGCGCATCCCTCACATGTCTTTAGCCGCAAACTCCAATGCGGCAATTACATCCAGAGTCGGTAGACACAAAGCATCCTTCACATCCTTTGCCAGACGGCGCATCAATAATTCTTTGGCCCGTGCCAGTAGGATTTGCTATCTTACCCAGGCATTGAGCCTTACCAGATGTCGACATGTATTGCTTTGAACGTGCGCGCGAACATCCAATAAAAGCAGAGGTCGAGCAGTCAACACCGACAGCAGACTTGCCTCTCGTTGGCACAGTCGTGGCTGAAGGAGGTAGATCACGGTATTTTGGGCAGAATGACAAAACTACGCTCCTTAATCAGGCAAGAGGATTGGAAACCATCTGTGAAACATGATACTGACAGAACACAGTTCCTCGATGTCAAGGACTTCCTCAACAAGATGGCTAGTGATGAGCAGTTGATGGCGTCTGCAAAGAAAGTCAAATTTCTTCAAAGCAAGTCAAAGGGAGATCCAATTCGGCCGCCTGAGCGGAAGCATGATTCTGGATGATCGCCATCGTTACTAAAGCTATGGGAGTCTCTTCCACCAAAGCCGTATTGTGACAAGCTGATCTCCATATACTTCCAGTATTTTGAGCGTACCATGCGCGTTCTACACCGTCCCACTTTCATGCGTCAGTATGAAAGACTGTGGCTTGACAGCGGATCTGGGCTTGATTCTACATCCAGCATCCTCGCACTGCTCACGAGCGTTATGACCAGGGCTTACTTGCTCGACGATACGGCCAAGACCGATGAAGCAGACGATTACAGAGCCTATTTGCGGGGTGCAGCTATCGACCACATCCAGGCATGGCTCGGGGAACTTGGACGAAAGCAGCGAACGGAGCTATCAACTCTTCAAGTCGAATTACTTGTGCTACTGTCTGGTAGCGTAAGCCACTCTGACCCAGATAGAATTTGGAGCCGCAGCGGTGCCATAATGCGGTCAGCTATGACCATGGGTTTGCACATAGATCCTGCGAAGATAAAGCATCTTTCGCCGTACCAGATGGAGATGCGAAAGCGGCTATGGGCGTCTGTTTTGGAAACGGAAGTACAAGTATCTATCATGACGGGTATGCCCTTGGTAATCCCAGAGCTCGGATCTTACTGTCCGGTACCGGCAAATCTCTATGACGAGGACTTTGACGAGTCTTCATCGAAGCTACCTCCTCCCCGCCCGCTTTGCGATCTGACTGACAGCCTCTACCAGATATATCTTGCTATGTCTCTTCCGCATCGAATCAGGGCTTCCTCGCTTGTACAACGCCCAATCCCTGATGTGGGCGAGGCGATTGAAATAGGGCGTGAAATCCAAAGATCTTGTTGCTCTCTACCGTTGACCCTCAGCCTGCAACACAGCCAGCCAGCAACCGGCGATCGAGGTGGATTTCTGCATCGCATTCTCCTAGACTTTTACCTTCGACGATCGCTATTGTGCTTATACAGACCACTCCTCTTCGACTATCAGGATTATCAAGGTAAATTAGCCCCCGCGGATACTTTGTAAGATGTCTAGCTGACCTATAATCAGTACGTGTTTTCTTAGCTATTACGCAGACGATGAAATCTTGAACGCAGAATTCGTCGAACGTTCTTCCAAGAATTAGAGGTCTCCTATCTTCCTCTGGGGTAAAGTTTGTGCTAACAACTTGGTAGCAAGAAGTCGCAGAGGCCTGGGTACAATGTGTCGATTCATCGGTGGCCATACTCTCTTATTCAAACTTCTATTACCCTCAAGCGCTTGAAGATACGTCACCGTCACAGGAGGATCTTTACTTCTGGTTGTGCAAAAAAGATATCCTGTGGTCTGCTCTCACAGTATGCCAACGCATCAAGCATCTCCGCCAGGCCAGCTCGCATGGCCAACACCTAGAGCAACAGATGTCTGGACACAACGAACATGTACTCGTCGCAAAGATAGAGCAGACTATCAACTACCTCATCGCGAGACTGGGTCGTGGCGAAGCAGATGATCTCAAAGATATCATCTTCCTTTCGTTGGCGCTAAAATGCGTACAGCTCCCTGAATCATCCCCAGGACGACTTTACGAGCTCCATTCTACCACTAGGAGAACAATGGCTGCCTGCATGGAGCAGCTGTTGCCACCCAAGCTTACCGCCAGCGGTCATCAGCATGAACGAGACGACGCTGAGTCACTAGCTAAGCGCGCGAAATCGTCCTCAATACGCCCACCTCCAAAAGTTACGCCTACATGGCCTGTCAGTTCGAAGCAAACGCCCAACCCGCTTCCAGCAACTCATGGGCCAGGAATCCGTGGAGAGACTGCCGAGCAATACCTCAACGACTTTGCTGGGCTCGCCGCCGAGTTTGCCGATTGCCAGACTGATTCGTTTAGTCTCCACGCTGCTTTCGGTGGTGGCGTGGTGCAAGACTGGAATTGCGAACACCTCTGGCAGTGATGGCTGCAATGTTACTTTCTGAGCTGCGCAACTGTGTTCCGTTAGAGGAGTCCTACATAGATCTGGTCGTTATAAACACGCCTGTTCCCTGTTTGAGGTGGTGCAAGATACAAAATACGATCTTCATCTATCAGTCTGATGTCCCCACGTTTCTTTTCCAAACAATGCATGGATGACGTTTCGTCATATACAAGCCCCCTTCCTCCTCACAACTTACTCACTCAAACCTGGAACACTCCCCAATATACCCATGGTATGTTTCCAAACCCTGTCCCTCGTGTCACTCTGCCTCAGCTTGGCATAACTAACTTGCTTTTTCTCATCACCCCTCTGCCCCACCGTATATGCACCTCCTCCCCTCTCCCGTGTACTACTAAACGCCACATCAGCCACCGTCTTCCCTCCCTCGCCCTCTTTGACCCATACACCGACGTCCCTTGCGGGATACCTGCCCATACCCAGAAACACCATGACCTCACCACACACCGTTGGACTCGTCATGTACCATGCCATCAACACCTTAGCTATGCGCCACAGCACGCGAAACCACAGTGGATTCACTTTACTAAGGAACGTTGGACCGTCAACCAACCCCGGATAAATGTGTATGAAAGCGATTTTGCCAGCGTGTTCTTCGGCTAGGGCCTCGAACATGAAGGTCTTCATGAAAGCGACGTGCGTGCGGACCGATGTGACGCCGTGCTTTCCAGGCGTTGGTGGGCCGATTGGAAGGGCAGACGGGGAGATGGGATCTTCGATCGTGCCTGCAAAGACGGAGATGACGTGGGCGCCGCTTGGATTTTGAGAGCGCAGAAGAAGGGGTGTAAGGGCGAGGATAAAGCGGATGCGGGAGTAGTATAGGAGGGAGACTTGGGTGTCGAGACCTTCTTTTGTTGCTGGTGAGGTTGGTTAGTTGGGGTGATGGGGAGGGTGGTTTTCTCGGCTCACTTCTTGCTGGAAGCGAATGCAGATGGGAAAGACTTACGCGGCGATGGTGCAAGTGGTGACTCTGCTTGGGTTATGTATAGCATATCTATCCTCGGTTCTCCCCCGTTCAATGGGTCTTCTTCATACTTCTTGATTTGCGCACATATGGCGTCGACATCGCTCATCAGCGCCAAGTCATGGGCCTTTATGAATCGCCATTCTGAACTTGGGCTTGTGGAGCGCACTTCTGCAAGCAAAGTTTCTGCGCGCGAGGCGTTGCGGCCGACAATATAGACGCGTAGTTTGGATTTCGAGTTGTGGTAAACCGAGGCGAAGGCTTTGGCAATGTAGGATCCGATGCCTGAGGTTCCGCCTATGATAGCGATGACGAGAGGGGGGCCGGTGGTCAGGCTGGCGATGGTGGTGTGGATTGTTGAATGGGGTGGCATTGCTTCAGGAGATATTGGAAAATGGAATAGCTGGGAAATTGACATGAAGAATTCGACTGAGGTGCAAGGGGAGAAACATATATACGCAAACGTTGCTCGATGTTCCTCTTCCCATTCTATCATCAAGGCTGATGTCCTCGTTGTGATAATGGAGATGTCTGAATTAGGAAAATCATGCGCCAAGCGATACACCTTCTGGGCTTAGACTCGACGAGGCGTCCATTCTCCCAGGTGCCTTCCAATAATATCGCGCCGTGTAGATACAATCGGAGGTTGATTGCGCCGAGGCTGTAGTTTGCCTTGCTCCGACCCTGAGGAGTATTGGCTATCTCAAGTTGTTCACGTATGAGGTAGTATTTGCGCCAAGTCCGTACCGTTACGTAGACGCGTTCATAAGTAGATATTGATCATCAGGCCAACCCTTTACACCATAGCACACTCAACCATGCTTGTTCGGATTGTAAAAGACTATGCAGGAATCGCAGATGAACTGATGAGAATAGGAAGGAGCGCGAACACTACCCTGATCTATGGACCGAGAAATGGAAGCATGGCGATCTTCTAGCACATGCAGGTCAAACAGATGATGGAAATTGGCCTTCGCAAGTAACGAATTCAGACTTTGAACGTGGAAAGTCGTGGACAGACGTTAAATTTATCGGGGTGAATCGCCCTAGTTGCCTGTGTGGGCGATGTGAAACATGGTCCGGCTTACCATTGAAGCTTGGCTTGCTGCAGTCGGTGATATTTGGTTAACATAGACATGAGAACGTGCTGAGATGTATTGCGCGGCGTGGTGCATGCAGGCCAATACTGTGACTGCAGAGACGTGACGTGGTACATGAGGTATGCAGCAGACGGGAGGCTGGGTGGCTGCGCGTGTTGACAGTCGAGCCAGAGAAGTCGAGGCTGCTAGAGTCTGGTAGGATGACTTGACGCTGACGCGGCGCCGAATGCACGGCGGGATTAGATTCGCTCAATGGCGCGGGGTAGGAGCGAGTGGTGAGCACAACATGTCTTATCAGCCGGGGACCGATGGCGATCTTGATCTGGTGTTTGTGTTTCACCACGGCGGTCAGATCGCTACAAGGGCGTTGGATGTCGCGCATGCCCAGGCTGAGACACGACCTCGAATGAGCAGGTGGGAGTGAGTGAAAAAGTTGCAAAGACGAAGGCGACTTTGAGGCTATGCGGCGTTGAATGCAGACTAAATGGGTTAAAGTAGGTCGCTCCAGATTCCACGGTGGAGCCGTTTGCGGTAGCGGCTGACACGAGGAGCTAGGAATAGAACATGGAAGGAACGCGGACAAGACGTCCATGGCAGTTGCAGGCAGCGGAGACGACAGCAGACGAGGTGCAAGGCGTGCAGGATGAGCAGGGGATTAAAGGGAGGATACCAGAGAGGCTTCGCGGCAATAAACGTGAAAGGTCCAACTGATATGGGAAATTGCCTCTGGCTCCACCCTAGCACTTGCCGTTGTGGATGGGGCTTCCCGCGGCTGCGCCAAGGCCTCACTGCAACTGCTTGTTCTGGTTGAGGGCATATCGCTCTTGCCTGCATTGGGCGCACAGGCAGGCGCGAGGGAACACAGCGCAGGAAGAGGCAGACACGAGGGAGATCGTGATATGAACGAGACCGGCGTAGGCGCCAGAAGGGCCATTGTCGGGGGGAAAAGGCGGGCAGTCGGTATAGGCGTTATCTTGTCGCAAAACCTGTTGAGTGTGTTTGGGGCTGGTGCATTGGCGGAGACGTCACAGTGGGTTCCGTGGTGGTTTCCTGGGTGAATTAGCGGGCTAGCGCATCGCGCAGTCGCAGCCGTCAGCCTCTGTCGTGCCAGCGCCGTGTTACCCGCCTAACACACCTGCATCATCTCGGCCACTGCACGACTCCGACCTTCTCTCCACCACTGCGACCGCGCCTGCGCCTCTGCGACACGCTGCCTCAGCATTATCTTTTTCGCTCGTTTTGCCCGGATCCCTGCGAGATCCCACGCCGTGAAGAACAAACCACCCAGCCAACCGTGTTCCGCGCCGCAAACACTAGCCAGGCCCAGCCATAGTCCGCCTCCATTCGATCCGCAGAGCGGCGCGCCGCCGTCCGCGACCTCCACCAAGCGTTGCCCGCGCAGGTTGTTTTCGCCTCTGCACGCGAGGTGTGTAGCAAAACCTCGAACAAGCACTCACAATGGCTTTCCAGCAACCCCAGGCCTGGCCATTAGGACAGCAGCACGACGCCCTCCCGTCCGACGACAATCCGCCGCCTCCGCCAGCCCATCGCACTCCCGTAGGCCTCCACGCCCAGCGCCAGTATACCGACCCCAATAACTACTCCGACTACTCGACCCCAGGCGTCACCCCCGGCTCAGACAACATGGGCGAGACGGCTCCGGGCGGCGGCATCAACGGCATCGCCAGCGGCGTCGCTGGCTCCCACCCACGCGAGAGCGGCCTGCACGCTGCACGAGGCATGGCTGGCCCAGGACGGCCCATGGGCGTCCCCAACAGGAACTCGCAGTCATCACCCTTCAATGACCCCAATGGTCACGACCAGCCCATGGTTCCACGCCCAATGTACTCGCAACGCTCCTACGGTTCCGGCGCACCACTCGTCGGCGGCATGTACTCGAGTGACAGCTCCATGTACAGCATGCCACACTCCCCGCACAGCGGCGTCCCCTACGCCGACACGCCCTACAACCGCTACTCTTCGTCCGCTCAGAACCTCGCGCCGCAGATGGGCCAGATCAACCCGCTCGATGTCGACAACGATGACGACTGGGGAATGGGCCCAGACCACAACTCTCCACAAAACAAGCGACGCTCTTTCGTGCCATTCGGTGGCTCGCGGGACGGCAGCAGTCGCAATGGCTCGCCAGGGTCATCGATAAACAACGGAGGCGTTGCTGCCGCAGCGGGCGCTGGTGCTTTTGCTGCCTCACGCGACGGTACCAAGTACGACGCCGTACCCATGGTCAACGGAAGTGGAGAGCTTGTCCCAGAAAAGGTTGCAAGTTGGAAAGCAGAAGACGACTTGAAGAAGAGGAAGAAGCGCATGTGGATCGCCATTGCCATCATCACCCTCATCCTCGCAGGTGCAATTCTGGGCGGTGTCCTCGGTGCTACTGTCGGAAAGGGTGGCGGTGCAAAGGACGGCGCTGCTAAGTCTGCTCAATCTGCTGACGATATCGCCAAAGACAACAAGGAGGACCTCGGCAAGGACTCTTCCGAGATCAAGGCCTTGATGAACAACGCCGATTTGCATAAGGTGTTTCCCGGCATGGACTACACTCCTCTGAACACACAGTACCCAGACTGTCTCCACGTCGGACCATCGCAGAACAACATCACCCGAGACTTGGCCGTCATGTCGCAACTGACCAACTCAGTCCGCTTGTACGGAACCGACTGCAACCAAACACAGATGCTTATCCACGCCATCAACCAACTGGAGATCAAGGACACCATGAAGATCTGGCTTGGTGTATGGCTCGACAAGAACGACACTACAACGGAGCGTCAGATTTCCCAAACATGGGACATTCTCGATGACTATGGCTGCGACTACTTCAAGGGTATCATCATTGGTAACGAGGTGCTTTACCGCAAGGACCTGTCTGAGACCGAGCTGCTGGGACACATTTCCGACTTCCGCAAGAACATCTCGGACCACAGCTGCCAGCTGCCTGTCGCAATGGCTGATCTGGGTGACAACTGGACTGGCGACATGGCCACCAAGGTCGACATTGTCATGTCAAACGTTCACCCCTTCTTTGCCGGTGTTGATGTCAAGGAAGCGGCTGCCTGGACCTGGAACTTCTGGCAAACCCACGACGTGTCGTTGACCGCAACCCAGAATGACATCCACCAGGTAATCGCCGAGGTTGGCTGGCCATCTGGAGGCGGCACCGACTGTGGTGCAGCTGACACTTGCGCCGGAGGCTCTGTTGCCGGTATTGACGAAATGAACCAATTCATGGAAGACTGGGTTTGCCCAAGTCTAACTAACGGGACAGAGTACTTTTGGTAAGTCTCCCTGTGATCCAGCCTCGATAGACTGCCGCTAATACTTCCCTAGGTTCTCAGCCTTTGACGAGCCATGGAAGATCCAGTATAACGAAAAGGGCAAAGAGTGGGAAGACAAGTGGGGTCTCATGGACGTCAACCGCAAACTGAAGCCCGGGCTTAAGATCCCCGATTGCGGCGGCAAATCGTTACCCTCGACGTACGACAACTAGATACGATACGAGCGCGTATAGCATCCCTTCTCATACGAGTTCTTGCATGACGGCATGGCGTTGGCGGGCGTTCTTCATCTTCGGCATCATCGCGGCGACTCTTTCCGACCGCTCCATCGATCTCTTTCCGCGAATTGTATACTCGGGGCACAGTTCTGCCCTTTTTCTTTTGCTCCCTCCTTTTGTGGGCTTGAATGCCACACCAGTGTTCTGGGAATGGATTCGTCTGGATGAGCCTATATCGAGACATGTTAGGTACTTTACATTGGATAATCTCAGGAGGGAAGGAGCCCTCTACTTGTGTATATATATGATTACCGGGATGTGATGAAACCGGCTGGCTATTGTGTGTGTGGATTTGTCAAGGTCTGAAGGTCTTGTGCTGCGTTTTCCTCCGCGCTTTGTAAGCTACGGAGACGAAAATATGTGAAGAGCATTGTAGATAGGGCATGTACGGGAATATAAATGCAAGAGACGTATCGTTTTGGCTTTTAAGTCTGTCGAGTTTACGTTACCTGGCCGCGTCATGGAGTTGCGTCAAAGTTTGCTCCACGGCGGGTATGTGCTCATGTGGGTATGGAAGATGGCGTCAACTGGACCCACCGGGGATGATTACTACATGCCCGTCACTCGCAGGTAATGAGAAGGAGAATCCATGGAGCGAGGATCACGGCAACTTAGTAAAGGTACGTGCTTCATGTGTGATAACGACTATGTTTCCAGCCGAGAAGTCATTGTACATTCTCCCAACCACTATTAGCATTA